TGACGTTCGACGGGCAGCCATTCCGTCCACATCTATTGTGGTCTACCAATGGCTGCGGAGGGCAATCGGTATGAATTGCCGTCATGTTTCGGACTAGATGTAAGATAGGTGTGCGCAAAATATAAAGGGTAATCACTCAAATGTTTTGTTAGAGTAATAAAATTCAACAATTACTCGTGTGTACTCTGTGAATAGATTGAACAACGAAAAAAATTTTCACGAATTTGCACGAGGGAAACCGAAACCGATTTCGAACAAACGTCAGTTCATATATACACACTAAACACAAAAGTGGGGCGGGGGTTACAAATGGGGACATAATAAACGTTTGGAATTTCATTGTCAACATAACGGATGATACAGCCCTTGTGAGTAAACCATCGCTTGTCTTGTCGAGTCGGATTAAGCAATCTTATGTCTACTTTTTGAAACCGGGTTTCTACTGTCACCGATTATGCAGCTGCAACAAAACCTATTTTCAAACTATTTTTCCCAAATTAGGTTTTGTGATTTTCCTCCTTGACCAGCGATTCCGGTTTTGACAGTGCTTGACGTATCCATTTGTGCTTATTAAATCAAATTTTGACTACTGCATCTTCCGTGTCCCAATCCAACGTCCGTGAAGAAGTAATTCTATTGTTGCCACTGTAAAAGTAACGCATCAGTACAAGCTAATTCACAGTCGTAATGACTTAGTCACTTTCTGGCATGAGCAGCTTGATAGTCAAGGATACACGATTTACTCAGCTCCGTGTTCCTTGGTAAAACAACGGATCAAATACGTACTGGCCCGTCTAAGTCCAAACAATGAAATGGGGCTCACCAATTTCCGACTTCAGTCCAAGCCACACTCGCAAATGGACCAGCATCAACCGACAGTCGCGGCGCGCCTATAAACTCGTTATCTGAACGTCGTTGTGTAGGTGAATCGGGCTTGTGATATATTTACGATTTTGTGCAGGAAGTAATAATGACGTAAATGATCCAGTCCAGGTGCCCATGCATGGCCTATCTACAACTGCCGAGTGATGGCCGTCGTGAACTAAAAGTGGCCGAAATTATTACGCGGAGCGCTCAGGTCAGCTTCATTTGGGTATGATAAAGTGAAGGAATCCGTGCTCTTTATCTCGGCGGTGCGTACAGATGTGTTTCTTATTTAAGACAACCAACCTAAGCAAGTGACAATGCATACGATCTTCACAACGAAAGAACGTGTTGAGCCATCAAATTCGACCGTCATAATCGGTAGAGCGGACAAATCCATTATTTAAGGCAACCAACCTTAGCAAGTGACAACGCATACGATCTCCACAGCGAAAGAACGTGTTGAGCCATCAAATTCGGCCGTCATAATCGGTAGAGCGGACAAATCCAATCAACCACAATTTTCTTGTTCTTCCTGGAGGAATACTACGTTGTTTTTGAGAAACGTTTCCCGCCAGAAGACCTTAACGCAACCTGCAAAGTGCCTACAAAAGCTCGTTTCTTCCTGACATGTGATTAAATCCGGGGGAAAACCACGCCAGCTGGCGAAGTCAGAACCACTTGCAGGAGGGTTACCACAAGTACATTTCTAGCTTGTTGGATAGATTTTAGCGCCACTTTCATCAGCTAAGTTCCAGTCAGGGCTAAAGGGTGTGCGGAGACGTAAGATGCCAAAACCACGCAGTTCGGTATACTCTTCAAGATGCACTGGGCACTTGCCACGTGATGACAGCTCTCATGAGCCATGTAGTCTTGGTGGCAGGACATCCAAGGAAATGTTTTCATATCCTGGTTTAAACGCTTTGAGACTCGAGAACCTCAACTCGGAAAACTTACGCACGTTCAGCAAATTCAAAGAATTGATGCAGCGGAACCTACCCGGCGGCCGCACAACGCACTTGCTGTGAGACAGTGGAGATCATCTCATTTGATCAAAATACCTGATACAAAAATGGCAACCATTCAACTTCGGTAATTAGTAAATAACGTGACACTGAGATTTATCCTATGTTCCACCTTATAATCCTCAAGACATCCCAACATCCCATGTCTCAGTGTGACAATTATTTTGATACTCCATGATAAGATAAATATATGCACCTGAGACACAGCCTCACGTGGTTGTGTGACTGGAGGTCGGGAGTTTATGGGCGAGTAAAGTGCCATGTTTCTTTGCGACTGAGGATGCCAAACCGGGTAGTATGGTCATATCAGGTACTTTGAGAGCTAAAAGCTGCAGACGATTTTACTTCTAAAATACCACTATGGAACTTTAAAAACGGTTTATTTCCGATGCGACACAATCACCCATAAAACTCACCCTGTATGTTACCAGGAATAAACAATCGCCTGGCTGCCTAATGACTGCATTTAACTTTACAGTTACGTTTTGGCCCGACGTAGATTCTGAGTGCATGCTACTTCATCCTAGTATGGCATTATAACATTATTCCTCGAACTACTCTACATTCATGGTAGGTTTTACTGGCTTATCGCGCAGTTACACAAGATGAGCCGCACTCAGCCGTTGAAAAGCTTTAGAAGTGCTACTAGTTGCAGTAGGATTTTGTTGACATCGTCGACAGAAAATAAGGCCACCGTAGTTCGTCCAACTTGAATACACGCTAGCCCCCCAGATGAAGCTCACTTTGGAGGACCTTATATATCTCATCCGTGGTAAACTTATAAGTTGTTGATTCTACTGGGGCAGTGCGTCCATTCCTGCCGTTCGAGTAATAAGAATGGGTTACGTTATTCACTTCTGGAGCACTGCGAATTCCCAGTGGAAGGTGATTATCAAATACTGTGGCGGACTGACTTATTTGTTGCGTGGTGTAAGCCGATTGTTTGAAAGCGGATGGAATAGATCTAGAATTCAGAAATGCCTGTAAATGGGATACACTACTGTTTTTAAAGTTAATGTCACGTTATTTGAAAGGAACGGTAATGTGGGTACCATGTTTTGAGCGTTATCAAAATTCTGTTTTCAGTTGAGTGAATGTAATGAAAAAAGGTGAAATGCACCCCACGATATTCCCAAAAGACATCTTTAGAAATGGCACGGTAAGGTCACCTTCGCTGGAATAGGTTACAAACACTTTGTAGGGTTCAATAAAAAGATTAAACTTCTGTGTATACTGAGGCTCTTATTACCACATGATTTTTTTGAAATCATCCGGAAAATTCACTCGGCCAGCAGATCACTCGAGGTAAGTCTTGACAACCTCGCACGTCAACTGTATCGACCCGGCTGATGGATCCCTACAAATCATACAACTATATAAATGTCTTTGGGAATGGAATGTTGGTTACGTAGTACAATTCCAATCGGTCCATGACAAACCAATAATTGAACATTGCCAATGCCATTCATAGAGATCTTTCACCAGACTCTACATTTAAAAATGACATGCTAGTTATTGGTGGGCTTTTTTAATGGAGAAAATTTTCTCTAGTGTGACAACTGAGCTATCAACGTACCTATTTCTACACAAAGTTTATCCAGGTAAAAATTACAGGTATATCGTTTTATGATAGGATTACGAGATTGAATTTGGCCAAAGCTTGGCGGCATCTGTCTACAACCTTTAACAGTCCATCAACCCAAAATTATTCAACGCTAAGTATCTAAATCGATGTTTGCGGGGAGAACAGGAGGAAATGAATGATGCGCAATTTATTGTGCGACTAGAAGCGTTCAAATATTGCCAGCCAGATAGAGTCTGAGAGTTTACGAAGAAATCCTAGGTCATTTAGTGGGATAGCTGAAAGCAAAACCTTGCCGAAGTAGGTATAACGATTTTTGCCTCGTGACATACGTTTTGAAATGGAACCACCGTTACAGTCAGTTCGGTTAACGGTGGCGCCACTAAACTGAGGTTTCAAAGCTTGTAGGAGTTTAAAAATTACCTATCGTAATACGGGTGACTGTGTAACATCAGTTCCGATGAGAACATAAGCGATCATCAAAAGAATAAATTCCGGTAGCCGTGTTTTGCTATGCGGTCCGGCACGTGTTGCGAATTAATGTACATCGTGGGCAATCTCTTACCACTCAATGTTTTTCTAACATGTTAACAAGAACGTTTGATGATCGTCATTATGCCTTTGGAAAAACTCGAGAATGCTGATGAAAATGCGATTATACACCTATAAAATAGCTATAAAATGTTTATATTGGTTTTGCGAAACAATGATTTTGATGCCCGTATAGCAATGTAAAACGGGAGTTAACGGAACTAGTAATAATAATGACAATGATAATTTTTATTTCCAACTTGTGGGTGACATATCGCATGGAATAATCATTCGTCATTTGTATTGTACAATTTCTAGATATTTTTGCCGGGGATCCAGGAGGCATCAAATCGGCTCAAAAGGCATTCTCCATTTTGCGGAAGATTCGACGCACCATCTCCCGTATTACTCGCATGGACTTCCAGATACTGTATGAGGCCTACGTCAGACCGCTCCTGGAATACGCCAACCAAGTTTTCTACTCAGGACGCGCGAAAGACGTCACCCTAATTGAGCGTTTCCAGCGAGCCGCCACGAGAATGGTTGCCGGCATCAAATCCGTGGACTACAAAATGCGTCTCGCGAATCTTAATCTCCTTCCACTGAAGTACCGTTGCCTCCGAGGGGACCTCATTCTTGTTTATGCCCTGTTCAAACATATCTTGGCAAACAGGTTTTTCACGGTCGACCAAGCATACACACGACGGTGGTATAGTAGGAAGATTTTCAAGCTCAGAGCACACACATCAAACAAAACTTTTCTCTCATTTCGGGTAGTAGCTGCGTGAAATGACCTTCTTCCGACGGTTGTCCACGCTCCTTCTAGAACCCGGTTTAAAGCACTACTAGACATTTATTTATGCGAATCATCGCGCTGGCAGGAATACTGCCACGCGCTGAGAACATAAAGAGCAGTGCTACGCCCCTTCTTCACTTGACTTTCAGGCGGGTGAGAGCCGCTTAACG